ATTAATCAAAAAAGGTTTTATGAGAAACTTTGCTGTTTTCTAAATTGTTTTTGCATAATTTTTTACAAAACAAAGAATGTAAACTACATTTTTTCAAATTCTGTTTTTGTTCTCATTTTTTTTTCCTTTTCTATTTTATAAATTTTATATTTTCCAATTTAATAAAAAAAAATTTAACGTGTCACATTTTTCTTTTAAATTGGGTTTAGTCTGTATTTTTTTAGTTTTACGTTTTACAGATCAGATTATTTTCGCTTCAAGCCAGACATGGAGTCAACAATTCATCTCCATGTCATGTCTTTGTTCCACCCAGCCACTGCAGCAGGTGAGTCCAATCTTCACCTGTGCAGATTGGACTCACCTGGTTAACTAGCTGGGTAGATTAAATACATGACATGGAGATGAATTGTTGACTCCCATGTCTGCTTCAAGCTAACTACAAATGTTCGTTCTTGACCAATGAAAAGCTTTGGCTCACATCAGCTGACCAATAGAATTCCTCCTCACACCAGAGGAACACCCCCCAAAAATAAAGAGAATGTGATCTTGAAAAGAAAACGACTCCCAAAAATAAATCTGGAAAAATGGAAAGTAAAGAAAAATATTTAAAAAATGTGGTATTTATATTTTATAAACATATAAATTAAAACTTGATCAACTCCATTAAAGTCGCTGTTGTGCTGCAGAGGAGATGAAATGCAGAGTTAAAGCGTCCCACCATTACTGGGATAACGGTACGATAGTTATCGTGTTTAATCCAACATTTCCTCGGAGCTTCATGCGTTCAGACGTTCCTCCGCCGTTTGGAAAGAATCGCAGTAAAACGTCCGTCGTTTCAAACATCCTCTCCGCTTCCTCCTAAAACCTACTTGGAAAACCAAATTCTTCGTCTTAAATGAGACTTGCTGAAACCGACTGAAAGCATAAAAGGGCAACCATCTGGATAAAGTTAACGTTTATGAAATATAATGATCACGTTTATGCAATAATCGCATTTATGCAATAATCACGTTTATGCAATAATCGCATTTATGCAATAATCACGTTTATGCAATAA